TTATAAAAATATTTATATCTTAATTCTTATAGAAAGTATACTTTTATAATCTTAAAAATAAGAGCTTTATTTCTAAGAGCTATTATAAAGACTATAATTTTATATATTTATAGAATTCTTCGATATATTATATAAGTAATAATAATTATTTTTATAATATATATAAGAATAAGACTTTAGAAGATAAGAAATTCGATTATAAGAATAAGAAAGTCGATATCGAGTTTATCTTAATTATTTATTATATTATTTTAAATAAGATAAAAGATTTACTAATTTATCGAAAATATTAAAAGAAGTTTTTATCTAATAATTAGTTATATATTTATTTTAAAAAGAAATCTTATTATTAAATAGCCTCTTTAAAGAATATTAAGAAGATTTTTAGAGAGAAGAATTCTATATTCGACTTATTATTAGAGAAGTTAATATAAATCTCTAAAAAAATACTATTAATAAAGATATCTATTTCTAAGAAATTCGAGTTAATCGAGTTTATAATATCCGCGAATTTAAATAATAAAATAATCTTTTAATTATAATATTATCTTATTAAGCTATTTAGTCTTTCTTTAAAAGCTTCGTTAAAATTAGAATATCTAAATATCGAATATCTAATAAGTATAGAGAATCGAGTTTTCTTAAAGAGATTAATATCTTCGTTCTCTATTAAGAAGTATATAGCTTCGATTATCTTATATAAAATTAATTTAAATTAATATTCTATTAATAAATAAATTACTCTTTCTTTTTTTATAAAAGATAAAACTTTGAAAAAAAAAGTCTATTATAATTAAGTTTATTTAAGATATATATATTATAAATAATTTTAAGATAAATCTTCTAATAGAAATAAATATACTCGATCTAGAAGAAGTAGTAATCGATCTTTTATAGAAGAAAGTAATTCTTACTAAGTGTAGAAATATCGCTATATTAATATAAGCTATCGCTAGAGATAATATAAGAATTCGATAAATCGTAAGATTAAAATAATATTAAGTTATTTCTTTAAAATCTATTAGATTTATTACTATATCTTTATAAGATAAAATTCTACTTTCTAATTAAGACTTTCTTTTCGAATTAAAGATAAATAAAGTTTATATATATCTTATAGATATAAATTTTAACTTTATTTCTATTCGAAATAATAGCGTTACTTTACTTATAATATCTTATTATTATAAAATTAACTTTATAATTAAATATAAAGCTAAAGAAAGTTATCTAATTTAAATAAAGAATTATTCTTTAATAACTAAGATATCCGAAGATAAAAGGTTTATACTCGAGAAATTTATTAATCTTATTATATTAAAGTTAACTATTAAGAAAATAATTATAAATCTTACTTTAAAACTCGACTATTTAATAAAATTACTATTTATAAGAAATAGAAGTATATTAATATAATATAAAGTATCTTAGAAGAAAACTCTTATATCTAAAAAGATTTTAATAATATTATTAATCTTTTTAAATTAAAATAATTATAAATATTAATTATTATAAATTAATAATCTTTTTTAATAAAGTTAGAGAATAAGATTTATTCTCTAACTTTAAAGAATTATAAGCTTATTAATAAAAAGTTTAATAAGATATATATATAAGATAAGATAAGCTAATCTAAGAAATAAATTTTTTTTATTTTTTTTATTTTTATAATTTATAAGATAATCTATATTAGATTTAAGAAAATATTAAAGCGAAAGAAAAGAGTTATTATTAATATTAGAGGTTTTAATAAAATTATAATTTTTAATAATTATTCTCTTTCTCTATAGAATAATATTATTATAATAATTTAAGAATATACTTTTATTAATATAATTAATTATAATAGATAGTTTTATCTTTTTTTAATAAAAAAAGATTATTAATAACGATTTATTATAATATCTTATTAAGAATTAAAGTATTTTAATATAATAGTAATAAGTTTTAAAAACTTAATATTTTACGTTTAGAGAAAAATAAATAATTTTCTTTATTTATATTATTACTTTATTAGATACTATATAGATAATATTATTATCTTTTCTCGAAATATAAAAGATTATTTCGAGCACTTAAGAATAATCTTTTACCTCTTCGCGAAATTTAAAATTACTCTTAAATCTAAGAAATCCTATTTTAAATACTCGTTAATTACGCTTCTAGAATAGAAGATAGATAGATTTAATCTTATTATCATCGAGAAAAGAATTATAATAATTAAGAAAATATAATTTCTTATACTTTTAAAAGTATTTAAAATCTATATAGAAATAATAAATTAATTACGAAGAAACGTTAGATACTTTATATAGATTTCTAAATTACTATAACGCTTAAAGATAAAACTTTTAAAGCGATCTCCAGCCCTAAATAATTATCTTTATAGAAATTTCTCAAAGACTATAAAGATTACTTCTACTAAAGACAAAGTAAAGAATTTTTATATTTTATAATAAATATTAATTATAAAAATTTATCTATATTATTATAATATTAATTACTAACTTTATATTAATCTCGATAAATCTAAAAAGTATAATTTCGAAGTTATAATATATTACGTAATAAATAATTCTTAAAAAAATTCTTTTTTTAAGATAAATATTTAATTTATTATATTTCTATTTAAGCTTTTAAATATTATAGAGTTATATTATTAATTAATAAAATTAAAAGTAATTATCTTAATTTAAATCTTAAAGAAGATTTTTTATATACTAAGTTAAAGAATAAAAAAGAAGATTATTATTTTTACGGATTACTCGACTATCACCGATATTACTTATTAAATTATACTTTCTTCTTTATTCTCTAATTAAATAAATTTATAACTTATATATATTTTATAATATACTTCTTAATTTAATCTAAATATATAATAAAGACTTAATAAGTAAAATATAATTCTTAACGCTTTATCTAAATTACTTTATAAGTAAAAAGAGAAATTTAATATCTAAGATCTAGAAATTCTTAATAAAATTCTTATATATAACTTAATACTTATAGAAATATCTAAGAAATTTTATATTAAACTTATATTTAACTATTAAGAGAATAAGAAATAATTAAAGATTCTTAATACTCTTATTACTTAAAAGATATAGCTTCTTAAAAAATAAGAATCTATAAAATATATTAAACTTTTAAATATATAATTTCTACTTTAAGATAAAATTATCTACTATTAAGATAAGTTTAATAAGTAAGAATAATTTTATATTTTAAAAAAGATAAAGTAGAAGATTTTTAAGTTTACTTATAATAATTATAATTATATTAATTTTTATAGATTATATAAAAGAATTATAAAGATTTACTATATAAGATATTTAATTTAACGCTTAAAGCGGTATATTATTTATTACTTGAAGTATTAGCTAAATTAGATTATAAGATATATTTTATATAAAAATCTTAAATTTATTATAATTTCTACTTTAATTTTTTATATAATTACTATCGATTTTATTCTAGTACTATTATTTTTAGAAAATAAATTTAATATAATAATAATTATTATTAATAATTTTTTTAAAAGAAATATATTTATATTAAGGAAAGATATATAAAATACTATTGAATAGATAGAAGTCTTACTTCTTACTCTCGCTAATTAAAAATTCTCTAAAGCTATTATTTTAAATAGAGATTTAAAGTTTCTTTCGAATCTTTAAAAAGCTATCTTTAGAACTTTAGAAATAAAGCTTTTTATCTTTACTACTTATTATTTATAAATTAATAATTAATCTAAACGAATAAATTAGATAATAGAGATTACTTTAAGATTTTATATTTCTTATATTTCTTAATAATTTCTAAGAGATAAATTCTTTATATATTTTAGAGATAGTCTTAATAACTTTATAAATATATTAATAGAAAAGACTTTTAATAAGATTATCTATAATATAAAATTTAATAATAAATTCGATATAATAAATATCTTAATAAAGAATTAGATAGATATTATAAATAATTATACTCGATATTAATAGAAAGCTTTAGATATCTTAGCTTTCGCGATAGTTAATATAAAATTTAAATATAATTTAAAGTATAAAGCTTTAATTATAAAGAAAGAGAATAAAGCTTTTATTAAGCTTTATAAGAGATATTATCTTCTTAAATTTAAGAATATAAAACTTTTAAATTAGAGAGTTAAATCTTTTATTATTCTTAAGTAAGTTCGAAAATTTAGTCTATAGACTTAATCTTCTAATTATTTAAAAGATTTATTTTATTATTTTTATTATAATACTCGAGTCTATATCTAAAAGAAAAGATTTTTATTATTAATCTTATAAAAAAGAATAAGTTTTTATATTTAATTAGAAGAAGCTTATAATTAAGAATTATTATAAGATTTAAAAATTAGCTAATCGATATATTAGTCGACCTTCAAATCGAGAAAATAAAGATAAAAAAGATATTATAGAATACCTAATAAAATAGAAGAATTAAAAAAAGGCCTATAATATATAATATAAAATTAAGAATTTAAAGAATATAAAGGATTTAATTTATAACTATAATTCGAAATACAAAAAACGCTCGTAAAGAAAGTATTAAAAAAGGAAATCTTAGAATCTCTATATAAGTTAATAGCGTGAAAATTATTTCTTACGCTATTAATATATTATTAAACTAAATATTAAATAAAGTATAATTTTTAAACTTTATTAAGCCGCTAGATTATAAATATAATTTACTTTATTAACTTATATTTTCTAATATATTATTATATAGAAGCTCAGATTCGAAAATTTCGGGAATCTCGAAAATTTTGAGAATTTCGAAAGACTTTATAACTTATAATCGCGAAGTAAAGTAACTTAATTAGTCTTTTAGATCGCGAAGTAAAATAACTTAACTAGCCTCTTATTTCTTTTCTTTATCTTATTATATTTTCTTTTAACACTTTATAATTAAATATAACTCTACTTCTCGAAAAAAGACTTTTTATAATTTTAATAATTCCTAAACTATTCCTGCTCCTACAGCAGCCACCCAGCAACCGCACCAATCGCACCCAACGCCGTCTCCACCACCTTCACCAACCCCACAGCGCCCACACTCAAATCTTCGCTCGATGAAATTGACGCTGTCTGCACTCCCGGCCCCAATGTTCCACCGTCAATTCCTACGATGGAGTTGCCACTCCCCTTTGTGCCATTGCTCCCGCTCGTGCCGTCGGCATAGAACGCCCTGAGCGCATTCCCAGCCGCCGAGTTCTCGAACGGCGCCCGTTGGAAAAGAGACATCGATTCGTTGCGTCTGGGTCTGGGATCGGCTGGAAAGGTAGGCCGGTGTTGTTGAGGTTGAGAACGGTGCCATTGCCATAGGTAGAGATGTCGTTGAACGCGGAACCGCCGCTTTGGATTCCTGTTCCCACGAAGGAGGTGACGTGCTACTGCATCGCTTGCGCGATAGTCGTGTTGTAAGTGCCGTAGCTATAGTTGGAGCCAGGGTCGTTGTAGAAGGTGTATGCCGTGTCGTTTGCATGGAAGGCTGAGAGGACGAAAAAATGTAGCCGTGGGTTTGATTGTTGAAGGCGCGGTCAAGTAGTTGTTATTACATATAATTATTGCTTGGCTGGCGAAGGTGATGCCACGATTCAATTGGTCATTGTAGGGTAAGCTACCTCGAAAACTGGGGGGTAGAGCACGTCGGTGATGTAAGAGACTATGCTGCTGTTCACGCTGGGCAGTTAAAGCTCGACAAGGCTGGCGAAGGAGGCTGTGGATTTTACAGTGGGTAATGTGAAAAGCACACCTTCGTTCGCGTCATGGCCGTTCGTATTCTTCATTGTTTTATTGAAACGACCTTCGAAGAGGAGGTGGCCAGGTAGATCAGGGACGAAATCGCCGTCGAAGACTAGGCCGGCGATGAAACCGCCGTAGTGATCACCGTAGCCGATCCAGAGGTTGTTGACTCTATTCAGAGAGGCCGTGTCCCATTTGGCGAGCTTCTTGCAGGGTGGAGACATTGCACAGTTGTAAAAACTGCTGGAAAGCCCCTTGTCGGTATTGTACCGGGAGGTCCGTGAGGACTGCCGGGCTTTGAGTTATGGATTGTTAGAACAGTACGGGTCCTTGGTGCCCCCATAGGCTGTTATTTGGAGCACGACGGAGCCTGCGCCGGCCGAGTCCCCCATTACTGTTACTCGGTTCGGGTCGCCGCCGAAAAGGTGGATGTTTTCCTGTACCCATTGTAACGCTAAGCTTTGGCTGGCTGATAGACTTGGTCCAGATATCCCGCCAAATACGCCGAGCTATTTTGTGTAAGTTGATGCCATACAGTCGGTCTTGAACTTACGCGGTAATTCATAGCCACATAAACCATGCCTTCACCATTAGCCATACCGGCAACCTTGATTAAATGAGCTGGATTTCCGACACTCTCTTTGGAGCCGGAATTGTATCCGCCTCTATAGATCCAGACGAAAACAGACGCACCGCTTGAGTCCTTGGAGCCGGTTGGATTTGGAGCACCATCAAAAATTTCTGCAGCACCATCACCTCCAAGTAGAGACAATCTTCTGAGATCCTAGGATCCTCGGGCTCGGGGAGAACCATCGCCGAGTATTTACTCGTCAAGACTGTCTCGTTGATTTGCTCAAAGGGGAATGTGGTACCATTTTCGTAGTTTGATAGCCACTGGCCGCCTACCGCCGGCCAGAAAGGATTGGACTGTGGGCAGACACGTTCCACGCTCTCACTGTTGATAACAGAGCTCTTCGTCTGATGAGGGATGGACCTGGTAATTCGAAGGTCGCCTATAGGAGGCTCGCCGTATTGGATGTTCAAGAACTTATAGTAGCCGCCGGAAGTCTTGGGGCTGTCAGTATGCATGCGGAAGGGAATTGCTTGTGACCATGGGTTGATACCGACGTTGAACGCAATAGCCTGGTGGACCTCATAGTCTAGGTCTACAGTGGGAAGTGAGTGGGGGCATACAGAAGACGCAAGTGTAAATAGGCATAAAGCAAAGAGAGCAGTCATAGTAATGGAGACAGATTACTTGGACATGAGATGACGCAAAGAGACAGAGTGATGTCTGACCTGCAGCCTGGAAGGAGTGAGAATTCGGCGCCGAGAAGGGAGAGTTCTCGAACCAGCTCTCGAGGACGTACTCACGGTACCTGGCCCTGACCCGCCATGCACTGACCCGCCACTACCGCGAGGGGCTGGTAGAGTACCTCGAGTATCAACAACGGCGACTAGCCCATGCTTTGTCCCAATTGCCTGGATCTGCGATTGGGTTCATGCCAGTCATGCGGTTCTGTGAGCTGAGAAGGCCTGTTCCACTATGATGGAGATGGATAGAAAGGCTCCACGCTAGCTTAGTCATGCTCAAAATGCTTGGCATCTGAGTCTGACGCGCAGAGATGTTGATTATCCTTCTCTTCCTCATATTCCATACCAGCAGAGTTTTCAGTGACAAAATAGCAATCCATCTGTTCAATGGGAGTTTCAGACCACTTTTTTTATTGGTGGCAAATCGCTCATTTTCCCACGATCTGAAAAATCCACGCCATCCACCAATGCTACCCTGGGGTAGCATTGGTGAAGAAAATCGGCCCATTTGGTGGATTTCTCGTGTCGATATTCTACATCTCGTAGCAAATCTATTCAATTAGAAGGCCTTCCTTCTTACCACTACTACTATTACCTCCCATTGCTACTGTTACCTCCCATTGCTATCACCTCCCACACGTCTACGTCTTTCCTACCGTCGCTCCTACCGTCGTTCCTACCACGCCGTCGCGGAATCCCCCCCCCCTCAATGGCGCGAAAGAAAGCCCTTACGGGTAAGTTAGGGTTAGGGTTAACCCCTAAGGATTAGATACGGGGAAGATTACACGGTTTTCTCGGGCAATGACTAAGCGGATTTATCACAAATCCACCAAAGAAGCCTATTTGGTAGTGGGGGTGTTCAGACCAATTCAGACCAATCCATTTTGTCATAGCTGAAAGTCTGAATATTCCACGATTCCACAGCAAAAAAAAAAGTGGTCTGAAACTCCCTAATGTAAATTCCCTCGGCTGCTAACTTTGCGACATCCTCATTGGCCAAAGGTGTCCGGAAAAATTGTCGATTGTGGTATTATATCGGCCGGAATATTCAGGTGCAGTGGTGAGCGAAGCATAAGTAATCTCAGGTGCCATAAGTATCTTGCTTTACTTGTCCACCTCGTGCTGAATCTCTCGTATGCCAGCACGAGGCTAGCTGCATGCTCTCCACAACCTGCAATGGCCCTGTTGGTCTCTAGAGTCTGTGTCAAGTTGGAAGTATTGTTTTCAATTATCATCCAGGTTTGCTAGTAGACGGTGATGGTGTGCGTCAACTACCTCCTCCATCTCCCTCTGCGTTGCATGACTTCTCTTCGTCCGGGAGCGAACGATTAGGAACACTTTCTCATTCATCTCTCCACTCTTATTGGTCTGGGTTTCGAGATCATACACTGCTTTCTGCCATCTTGCTTGAGCGTTCTCCATCTCTCGAGGATTTTCTCCCTTTACTGGAATCACCACTTCAATCCGTTCCGCTGCTGCTGTCATGATCTCCAGGCAAGCCTGCGAGACTAGTTGCGAAGATGTCTACGGTTGAGACGACGAGATGCGCCCCAGATGAAAAGAGGCCCGTATGCGGTAGCATTGTTCCCCAAGTCAATGGAGTCGATGCTGCCCTTCCCGTTCTGCTACGGTAGCACTAATCTTGCGACCGATCTCAAGAAAATTGGGGTCAGCGAGTCTTTGGTGGGAGTACGTACTTTCCGAGTCCATATTCCTCTTCGGGCCCAAGTGTTGGGCCTCAAGACATGTCCTGCCGGTCTTAAATCTCGAAATGTCTTCCGTGGTTCGACAACCCCCCTCACATACGCAATCCTGACAGCGATGTTGTAATCCAGCGACTTTGTCATGATACTTGCTCTGGTACGATCTCTTGAAAATGGAGCATGATTTGCCATCTCTGTCCTGACAAATCACAGCTTGCATCCTACGGCGCTTCTGCATTGGTCTTCGTCGGTGCGTTCTAGTCCTCCCTTCTGTCGACTTTATTGATTGGTACAGATGCTCAACATGGCGTTGGCCATCATTTCCAAACCATCAGAGCAAGCGATCTCACAATGCTTTCCCAGGAGAGCCCCTCACCATCCTCCTCCAAGGTGGAGATGACAACAGCCCAAGACCATTGTCTGCTACAAAATCCCCTACGCCGTGACAATAACCCCAATCAAGCTCTCCATCCTCTTCTTCTACCAATGACTTTTCGGTGTCCCCAAAACATTCAAGAAAACGCGTCTGGGTCTTCTGGGCTATCGTCGTATCCTGGTGTACCGCTTCCGTCTTCGCTACCATCTTCCACTGCCTTCCCTTCAAAGCGGCCTGGACCAAACCCGTACCGTGGCGCCAAGTGCATCAACGGCAATGCCTACCTTACAGCCACCTGTGCCTCCAATGTAACAATCGACTCTATGGTACCTACATCTCGGAGCCGATTCTTCCTATTTGGTGATGGAGTTGGGTCGCTAGACATGTTTCGGGAGCAAGAACATGTTCTACTCTGTCTTGCAACTCCATTCCCACCTCGAAAATAAGCAACCCTGACTCCGAAATCTGCGCAGATCCTCATCCAACCGATTTGGGAACAGGATTTGGAACGGCCCGTTCGGCATGCTGGTCACGCTGTCTGAGGAAAGGTGTTCGGCTGAGTTGGGCTGGGGTGTTAAAAATTGGGATCGGACATGGAGTTATGAGTAATGTACAAAGGGAAAAGAAAGGTGGGATCGATCAAGGTTTGGGCTTACTTGGGATACCGAAAGATGATGTCGATTCGTCCAATGGAAGGGGGGCGTCCTGATGAGTCTCGGACCCGCTGCTGGATTTCACCTGGAAATATAGTGCGGATACCTGACGACTCCATGTATATTCTTTGTATACCATGCCGTACTCACGCAGCCCTTGATCTCTCCTGCTTACTTCCTAGCACACCAAAGATGCCATCCTCCCATACACATTTCCAAACCCCACCGTCAATTCACCATCATGCCAGGCATGCTCCCGGGCATATTCTCATATGTCCTATTCCTCCACCTCAGTCCCTCTTCAAACCCACTAGCATCGACCGCTCCACCGCTCCCTTCCTCCCGTTCTCTTCTCTCCCCGTCTCTCCTTCTCTCCTCTTCTACCTCTTTCCTAGCCTCCTCCCTCACGTCCCTCATCACATCCTTCGGCACGGCTTCCTCATCGTCCGCAGATCCAGGACCCCGCGTGTTCCTTTTCCTCGGCCATAGACTTGGCAGGACGACTTGCTGCACCCTTGGCTCAACGCAGCGCTCGTCGATCCAGGCGTGCAGTCGGCTCTCGACTAGTTGTGCGATTTTGGGGATGTCCTGCAGGCGGGATCGTGAGCCGACTAGGGAGCGCACGCTTAGATCGAGGCGGTAGTCTGGGAGGAACGAGAAAGCGAGGGTCGTAGGTGTGATCGAAGGTGGCTGGTGCGGTGCGCCGGACGGAGTGCTGGCGGGCGTAGGATGCGAGGGCAGGAAGGATATTGACAGTGTGCCTGAGAAGCGGACGACCGAAACGGCCAGCGCAACGGGCAAGACAGCGGTGAGCGGCTTAGGATAGTTGAGTATAATCTTCGTCTCGACCCCCAATGTAATAAAATCGCTCAAATCCACATCCATCCTCGCCTGCAACCTCGGCCCCTCAGGCCCATTCGTATCACCATCATCCACGGGATGCACCCGACAATTGCTCAGAATCGGGAACTCCTCCCCCAGACTGATCTCCGTAACTTTGATATCCGACAAAAAGCCCGGTTTCTGCTGCCCGTTCAGAATCCCGGTCAAAGATTCCAAAATCGCGTCGTCGTCATGCGCATCATTCCTGAACTGCGCGATCGTCTGCGCAATCAGGACGTTAAACCAATCCAGACTCTCCTGTTGGTGGGAATGGACATTGTAATACGTCTTCGAGAGGATCGTAGCGGTCGTCAGTCTCGGCGGAGGCCGTAGGACGTGGGAGGCGGAGCGTTGGCTGTTGAGCTTGTGGGGGCTGGACGAGGAGGAAGTGTGAGAGACGGAGCGGCTGCGATCTCGACGTGCGAGGGCGCGTGCTGAGGCTGTGGTTTCGGGGGAAGGGGGGTCGCCGAAGATGAAGAATTTGATGAAGCAGCCGATCAAGATCACGACGGAAAGTTGGCCGAGTAGGAAACCTTGTGTGAATGAAAGACTGAGGACATATCAGCAAACTGTAGCCCTTATTCGGTGTTCTAAGAGCTCACGAGGACTGCTGTGGTGGGACCTGCGGAGTAGCATCTGGAGTGGTGTCAGTCACTCCGCTCGGAGATGAAAAGGCTTGCACGTACGTTGAAGGCTACTCATGCTATCGAAGAGCGGTGGAGTATGCTAGATCTGCACCCATGATAGATCCTCTGTGATTGAGAGTAGACGACGGGGGTTGTTGAAGTGAACGGGAAGAAAGGCAACTTCTAATTTCTAGCTCTTGAGCGCCAAGACTTTATATATCTCGACTTCGATATAATTAGAGCTGTCCCTTTTGAGCGCCTAAGTGTCTACTCATCTAGAGGTAGATCTGTCTACACCTAGTAAGACCGGAAAACTGCAAACTGGTCAATTCTATTATTCTAATTTGAAAGATGCCTTGAAACATCTTAATAGATACACTGAATAGGAGCATTCATCGTATACCAGAGACTCCTTGTCACAATGTAAATAACCAGGCATCGGCCAATGCGTATGAAGGATAGCTATCCAGCAGCTCTGGTCATCAAATATCAATTCTACACCCAACGCCCTGCTCCTTGAATATTCTCTTAAAACCACCTTTTGCTCTTCGTACACTCCCGCATTAGTCGTCCGCGGTACTTGGACAGGTCGATTTAAGATTTGAATGAGTCCCTAGCGCTCTGCATGCTCGCACTCATTGGCGCTGGGTTGGTAGTCGGTAGTCCCCCTCCCATCTTGGCTTTCGCCGATTGCTTGACCTTTGCGAGCGCATACACGATGCCGCTAATGAACCCGACAGCGATAGCAGAGACAGATGGAATTGTGAGGGGGGCGTCAAAGAATATAAGGCCGCTGAGCGCAATAGGCAATTTGTTGAGAGCGCCGACCATGGAGTATGTGGTCGACGAAGTGACGCGAACACACCAAGCCGAGGTGTATGAGATGAAAACTGAGGAAAGACCGGAGAATACCATGGCTGCAATGATGTTGTTGCGCGACTCAACTGGGAAATTCTTCGCCACGTTCTCGGAAGACCAATTTTCGATGAAGACGGAAGCGAGGAAGAGGATGGGAATTGAGAGGACGTTGTTGTAGAACATAGCTGCGAATCAAATTAGCAACTTGGCCACAACGGATGTGAGATGTCCCATACTGTCAAAATCTTTGAAGTTCGTCAATTTGATCCGCTTTCGCATACCAAGCACATAGGCTGCGCTGCAAATACAATTCAACATCATCCACATGTATCCAGCATTGAGCGTTGAGATCCTCGCCGAAGCTTCGTCGCTTGCGTGCCCAAAGTTTTGCAGCGCGTGTTGGATATCTGCCCAAGCCGCAATGACCGAGCTAAGAACCATCAAGCCAAAAGAGAAGAGAGACATTCCGGTGACGGAGCCGCCGAACCATAGCACCTCACCATAGGCAATGAGGATGATGGTCAAGTTCTTGAAGATGGTGTAGACGGGAATTGATAGAAATTGGAGTGCCTTGGTGCTGGTGTATATCATCACAATGAGTGATAGGGATACAGGAAACCCTAGAAAGCTGTCAATTGCTGATATGCCAGACCTGACACCTGGGAGAGCCCACATTTCCTGGCCTCGTCGGAATTGAAGTCTCGATACGTAATAACTCCAAAAGTTTTACAAGTCTGAATAGCAATCACGCAAACCACAGACTAAGTACCCATCAGCACAACGTCTCCCCAACCCCTCCCATGCTGCCACTCACTTGAACGCAAAGCAGAAAGAAGTTCAAATTGAACGACCCCGAAAGCACGAACTTGTTCGTTACAGTCATCAAGATTGAGGAAGCACAGTAGCTGAGGACGGGAAACACAGGATTGTTCGCGACTGCTGCAATCGGCGCTGCTCCTCCCGTAGGAGTCTTGGGACCAGGAGACCTTGGTGGTGAATGGTAGCCGCGCTCCGTTTTCTCGTCCATATCGATGACCGTATCATCCCTCTTCTTGAAGTCGGCCATGGCTGCTTGCCGGCAGGCGTCGGAAGTGAGGAGAGATGGCTGCTGAGGTTGACGAATGGAGGGTACGCAAGCTTCTGTTGAGTCGAGTATTGGCGCAGAGGGTTCAAGATGTCGGAACGATAGTGTGTCAGCAAAGGCTGTTGTTTATAATGACAGCCAAGCTCCCGACGAATGTCTTTGGATGCTGATGTGTGTCGGTGATATGTTGTGGAACCTTGAAAATTATGTTGCTGGTGGCTTTTACGGGCTACAGTACGAAACGCTAAAAATGGACTAACGCAAGGGGTCCACATCAGCCCTGTGTGCTTGGCGCGACAAGCCATCAGAAATGTACCCCCCAATAATTTTCTATTTCTTTTTGTACTTACCTGGATCGAACGGGTGAGCTTTAGAACCTGAGAGCTAATAAGGGGAGATTTCGGGGTACATTTCATATTGCTTGGCAGAAACATCTCACGAGTCTAGGGCGGTGCGCACAGTGGCTTGGATTGCTAGAATACTTTAGGGTATGTTCCCAAAGCAGTAGGCAGATGGTCTCTGGGACAAAATAACCAGCTCCCGAGCCCATCCGCCCTAACACCCCTGCTCCAAAAGCCAACATGACCGCCTCGGACGACGAAGACGCCCTCCTCGAATCCCTCGAAAACGACACGGAAAACGACCCCTCGCTCGCCCATCTCCGTGAAGCCCGCATCCAGCAACTGGCCTCGGAGCTCAAGGAATCCAAACGACTGCGCAGCGAAGGCTTCGGCAGCTATGACCAAATCAAAGACGAGAAACGTCTCATGGAAATCACGACTTCCACGGAATACTGTGTCGTGCACTTCTACAAACCGGATTTCAACCGCTGCAGGATCATGGATGGTCACCTTTCCGCCCTCGCTCCCGTCCACCTCTCGACCAGGTTCGTGCGAATCGACGTCGAGCATGCGCCGTTCCTGGTTACAAAATTGAACGTCAAGGTCCTGCCGTGTGTGATCGCCTTCGTTGCTGGTGTGAGTGCGGACCGCATCGTTGGGTTTGAAGGGGTCGGTTATAGCAAGGACACGTTCAAGACGGGGGATCTGGAAAAGAGGTTGGTGGGCGCCGGGGTTCTGGAGAAGGTGAAAGGAGCTGGGGATGCTAGGGTGGGCGAGGTCTTGAATAAGAGTCATAAAAAGCAAAGGATTGGTGGGAATGGTGATGAAGACGACGACGACGAATGGGATTGAGGGCGATGCGAAGAAAGAGTAGTGAAGGCCGTGTCGACGGATGAGGCAAATGTCGAGTATGGCTCGGATCATACTACACGCTGTGCATTGGCAGCTAAGCGTGATGGAAGCAACGCTGAAGCGGAAGCCTTCTCAAGTCCTGGTTCTCGCAGATGGATCTGCGTGGCAGGCTTGTTGGCAGGGAGCAAGATGTATGAAGAAGTATGAGCATGCATATACAGAAGCTGAGCTTTGGCCTGGTGTGGAGACTGGAGGAGTAGTGATACAATAGTGGCTGAGAAGGTAGAAGGGCTGAGTATGGAGGTGACCTTTCCAGAGTCTTCAGCGGACACATCGACGCGCTGTTCTGCTTGCACGCCATACTCGTTCATTGACACACTGTGCAACAATATCAGTACTACTGAGAGCCTCCAAATCCAAGCCATAGAGAATCGATAAAATTCTACTGTATTGCGTATGCAAACACATCCGTAAACTGACACATGCTCAAGCCCTTCTATCCTTCCTTGAGCGAACCAGCCATGGAATTCTCGCGCTCGAAGTCGTCACCATTCGACTCAACATGATGTGTACGTAATGATACAAAAGAAATGGGGGGCCGTGAACCTCAAGCGTGCAGAGAGCCCTCGTCTTGCGCAATCTGCGCAACTGTAATGCGAGACGCTCGGTTTTTTCCAAACCATGGCTGAACCTTCATTTGGATCAAGTGTTGAACGACGCCGGTTGTTGCCTAAATATGCGCAAACTTTTGTTGCCATGTCCAAATTCCTGCGTCCTGGGATGGGGGATAGTATATCTTCCGTGGTGGCGGCCTGGAGCTCAGATTTCAACGCTTTTCATGTCATCGACACCATCAACCCCAAGGCCTTTTAGCGCTGACTTGGTCTGTATGTCTTTGTTCGTCGCGTTGCTTAGCACACCAGACATGTCGGCCTCCATCGCTTGGCCCAGAGGCGCTTGTTTATAGCCGTCGTTTGGGCCAGTAGGACTTCCAATCTCGACTAGATTCCCATTGCGCTCGCTAGCTGCAGTGTTCTGAGCAAAGATATCTCTATTGGCGTCACCGCCAGTGTGAATCTTTGGTGCTGCATTCTCTTCTGTCACTTGAGCCAGAGGGCTGGGTTTTCCAACAGCGCCACGGGGACTTTGAGTATGGGTCGGCCCACGATGAGGAAACCTTTGTGGTGAGCGTCCTCTTTCTTCAGTCGGACTTCCGTACGGAGATCCAGTATTAGCGGTGCCATTGGCGTTGGTACCTGGTCCAGAACCCGGCCTTCTTCGAGGGCCCTTTCGACCATACTTCTGATCCATTCTCCAGCGCAGTATATTCAGATATGCTGGCTCGACAGTGGCGGTCTTGAATTCCCGAAGCTTAAGCTCCTGTGTCTCCTCGTCGACAAAAACCTTTTCACTACTCATGTCATCTGCTACTGTTGCGAGAAAAGCGGCCCATGATCGAGCAACAACATACTTGCAGTCGTAGTCTCGGCCGAAGATGATGATCTGACCCCATTTCCCAACGGGTCCGGGCGCAAGATCGACCGCAAGGTTATTACCGCCCCAATCACGAGCCAATGGAATCCATCCGGGATGGGCGTAAGCTTTTGAATAGCTCTAGATGGCTGTGAGTCTTGTTTGTCGAGGAGCTCTTGTCGCCAAAACGGGTTGGTTGCTTGTTGTGAAACTGGAACTGGTGCTGAAACCGAGGATGAGGATGCTCCACCGAAGGCTTTTGGCGGGAACTGCGTCTGATTGGTTGACGGGCTTGTGAGATATTCCTCATTGACTACCCGCCAATTCTTCCACTCTTGAACAATCTCCTCACAGTCGAGAAGCATGCAGCCGAAGATAATGCCAGTGGGTCTCCCACCTCTCTCTTGCCCATCATGTACTTGTAGAGATTCGCGTACTTCCATGGGTAAAGAGCAGTCAAGCTCATGCTCAAGCTCGTTGACATCATTCTGAGTGCATCCTTCAGAGAGCTGGTCGTAGAGTTCTTCGTAATTCTCCTCAGCCCATCGATCAATCTTTTTCCAAGAATGGGCTGCTGGTGGGGGTGGGGGGAGGCCTTCTTGGAAGCTTTGCATTTGTATTTCTCCCGGTGTTACGCTGTCGAAAGGATTGGGTTCGTTTGATTGTTGTCGTTTTAATGCCATGTTTGACCGCATGCCAGGCAAGTAAGGAGAAGTGGGTGACTGAAGAGGACCCGCGCCAGGACTGCCTGGTGCGCGTGCGTCGCCATTTTGTAGAGCTGGCGTAAATTGCGCGGAGGTATCATCGCCGTACGGTGAGCTCAGGTCTGGACGAGATTCTACGGCGCTGGTGGCCACTGATGTAAGGGGAGCATGACGGCTTTGGTTAAGAGGCATATGCTGGCCCGTGCGGTAGGGAGAGTCGTGGGACGCATGGCGGTCACTGGAGATCATTGTATGCCAAAAAGAGCGGAACATTCCTCCAAAGCTATCCGGGCTACAGATCAGTAAGGCAATTGCTGTGTAGACGAAAAGGGAAGGGAATAGAGCTTACGAAGGCATGGTTGTTATGATTGCTTTGTTGTCGCAAGAAGAGCTTGCAGGGCGTCAATTCGCAGTCATGTCAAAGAAGATGGGAGCTTGGCCTCCAGTAGGATGATACTCGAGGTGAATATGATGATATTGGCAACGTTTAATTGAAGTATCTCAGGGTCAAGGGTGTGCGGTCATTGCATCAAAGTATCGAGAACCGCATCATAAAAGGAGTGTGTTACTATCTTTGTTTGCCCACGAGTACCCCTGTCCAAAACACGAACCCTACTAGCGCGGTTGCCGCTTAAAGTTGCAAACGACGACGCGAACCAAGCTCCCAAGCCACCAAGCTTATACTCCGTAGAGGTTGCAACCTTTCACTACAACGGTCACCGAAGACTTTGAATAGCTTCACACCACTCTGCGTATGTACGTACGCAATCAAGAGGTACAGATTATGCGGCCTTTGCGCTGCGCAGTACGCCGTTTCAGCCACCTCTATCGCTGCCAAGCCTTTATAATCTCCGGCGCGCGATATGGCCTTGTAGTTATGAGCGGGTCGTGTTGTTCGTTCTCGAAAGTTGCCGACCCAAAGTCAATAGGTCTGATCTCGTTGTTGGGTTTTTGATATGAGTGATCGACGAGGAGGATGTTTTGCGGCTTTAGATCGGTGTGTATTATATTAAGGTCGTGTAAGACTGGAGCGCAATATTAGTTGAACCGCAACCAAGGTAGGAGAGGTGACATATACGCAACGCTGACAAATAGCTGCCGAGCAAAGCTCTATATGTGACTGCTTGGGAAGGTTATAGATTCGTTATCCTTGAGAAAGTCGGAGAGGCTCTTGCCTAGAACATCGGTGACTATGCAGATGTGGTTGCAGAATTCGAAACAGTCACGTAGGTGGATGCAATTGTTCTGATTCTATTCGTCGTTAAGGTACAAAGTCTGTAGCACCCGCAGTTCATCGCGGGCCTCATCCTGAACTCGAGTGATCTTGATTGCACACTTCGATTTTGTCTGCTTGTCAAAGGCTTCATGGACTTCGCCGGAGGTGCCCATGCCCAGAGGTCTGCCGATACAGTCTGCAAACAGTCATCACTCGGCCGTGCAATGGCAGTCCATTTCTAAAAAGGCACTCACATCTGTCACCTATGCGCCTATTCTCCTCCGTTACCCTGTAATAGCCTTCAGCATCGTCGGTCTCCCCGTTCACAGTCGCAGTCTTTTGCAAAGTCAGCTTTCAGATTGCTATCTGTACGACAAAGGCCTTACATCTTTGATCGAACGCACATTGATATCTCCAGCCTTTACGTGGGGCTTCGGTGGCGGTATAGAGGAACTGTGGGCGTCTCCCACCACCTTAATCTTCTCTTCCTTCAACTTCTTCTTGATCTTCTTCCTCTTTTCCATCTCATCACGAATCGGTTGCTGAGTCACGCGTTTCCTCTTCTGCCCAACCGCACTATTCCCGTCGTGCGCACCACTGGTCCCATAAATCGAATGTGGCCCCAGTGATGTAGGTGCCGTAGTCTGTAGTGATGTGGTTCGATCCATCAAGATAGTGTTGAACTCAATGTTCTCATTCGAGTATGTGCGGGTATGGAAGAATGCCTGTTGGTCCCTTGCAGTATCGTGTGCAGCTGTCTGACTAGTCCTCTTCTTGTTGGCATGTTGTGAACCTCTCACTGTTGCTTGTGGCTGTTGCTGCTGAGGTCGCTCGTTCCCTTTCCAAGATGGCGGCTGTGGTGAGTCGTTACTTATGATAGTGATCTCTTTCGGTGGTTCGTTCTTGTAGAACTCATGGCAATCAGTATGCCCTTCTTTTTTTCCTCGACCTCTGCGATGCTAATGTAGACTGTGAAACTGTCATGTTGCTAGACTGTGGCTGTCTTGAAGCTGAGGTATTGGAGGCCGGCGAAATGATTGCTGGTGCGCTGTTTGGAAAGTCGTAGGAAGGAGTGGTGATCGTAGTGAGGTTCATCTGATATCTTGGTGGGGTGCTTCTATACCTTAGCCAATGCTAAATCATATTTTTAGGGTGGCTACGCCATATTTATATAGGCGCTATATCAAAATAAGGCGCGATGTCGCCGAGATATCGTTATCGTCGTTAGCGATCTCGCTGTCACTTGTAATAAGGCGAGGAATAGAATGAGGAAGGCTTTTAGCCTAGTTATCGCAGTCCGCCTATATTACTATCTATTAAGACGGAATTTGTATAAAGGATATAGCGAGGTTTCGAAAGATATCGCTATCCGATAACCGCCCGAAGGCAACAAATGCGATTTCTACCATTATTATCAATACTACCACTCCATGACTACTATATAATCTATACTTAATGGTCCAGATCCATTCTATAGACTCTATTCAATCCTTTCTATCATGGAATCGTTCTATATAATCCCCTTTGCGATATAAAGAGACTTTACATACAGCGCATCCCCCTCTGGTCTTTAGTGCTCCCCCACTATTACCACTAATTTCTCTATTAAAACGCCTCTTCTGAATGTTTAAACGATATATAAGACACTATCGAATAATATTTAAATCTTGCCAGTTATGGTTATCTCGTAGTGGTTTTGATAGAGTAGTAATTAGGGTGGGAGTTCTCAGTAATCAATGAAGCCATCGGAGCAATTTCATCAGTCCTCCAATAATCATGAATAGTAGGAAAATGAAAGATTCCCTTGTAGATTGTAATAGCGACGAAGATTTTCAGCTCCGGAATATCGGTGGGCTTCCAGGTAGAATCTGAAGTACTCTGCAGAGAGGCATACAAATTGGTATTTCTACAAAGCATATCCCAGACAGCAGTAGTCCATATGAGACTAAACACCGTACATGGAGTGATTCCTATGTCGCTTGGAAGGTGACTGACAGCTGCACGATACTCAATTTTCATTGGCTGATACTCTGGTAGTGGAGGTATGCTCTGAAGAAGAATGTCACGCTATTCAAGTCTCTCCTTTTTTGCATTGGTCTGGGCGTCTCTTTTCTGACGTTTTATGGCCCGATCTAATTCTTCCTTATCAGGAGTAGGCAGAGTAGCAATTTTAGCCATATTGGACTTGATATGGTGGAGTTGTTATGAAGAATAAAAAAAGTCGCGTGGTTGAGACGCGGAGAAAAACCACGCTAATTTGTTGCCTCGGTCTGGGCGGTTATCGGACGCGTCTACTCAAGCCGGTTTTTAATGTTTGGCCACCTTACTACTTTGGGAACGCCTCGGCACACTTTCAAGCCCCACACACACCTGTTCTACATACAATCCTCACTCTACATCCTGCAAGTCATGACCGAGAATACCATCACTGTCCATTTCATCTGTAAGTGTCTCGATTCGGAAATTATGAAGCTATTCAGAACTAAATACACTCCCAGACGCCCCAAATAACTCGGTAGCCGAGGCATTCTCAAAGTAGTAAGGTGGCCAAACATTAAAAACCGGCTTGAGTACTGCGGCGATCGTTCACATCGCCTCAGATTTCAGCTGCTCGCTGTCTCTCGTTTCTCTCCTTCTCTATCTGAGACTCATAACGATGCCACAGAGTTTAGCTGTCAAAAGATCTGCATGGCATTTCAAGCAGCCCGCACTCCGCGAGGAGTAATCTAACGAAGGCGAGTGCCCACGTCGCGACAGCACTTGGTCGGACCAAGAACATTTGTACAAGGTCTTATTCGTATAGCTTGTGGGTATTTATCCAATTAGTAGCTACGAATGAACAAGATCTGCCTCTCAGTCTTCGTTCATTGCATCACCTTTGTTTGCTACTTAATCACGATCTGGGGCCTTTTGATCTAGGTTTAGAAATGTATGGCTGTTATGTGCAACGACCTTCTTCTTCCACGTCGCTCAGGGAATCGCGATGTCAAGATTTCATCTGTACTGGCACACAAACTTGGACAGCACATGAGGCAAAATTGAGCTGTATCATCTCATCTTCACATTTTTCTTTCCGTGCAACAGTACCTGCATATGCCATCTCTTTCCTTCTACTACTATTCACATAGGATCTCAATTCTCCCGAAATGTCATACTCCAAAGCAGGCCATCCAACGCGACATTAAGTCAAGGTGACCAACCTCCCGACTGAATTGTTCGACCTAGTTCCCGAACATTCGGCGATCCTAGGCTGTAATGTAGGAAAATCTATTACCCTTATGAATTCCTACCCAGTCTTAGCCGTGTGGCCCACACCGACGCCAACCTATCATCCGAACGCATATACATAAACGATGAACTCGAAAGCCAACGCAACCTGTCCACCGCGTCTGCAAACAGAGGCATCCTCGGACAATTTTGTTGAAGGAGAGAATGAGAACAAACCAGTGGATCGCGCATGTAAGAATCATTGACGACGCTTAAGGCTGACGCTGGGAGATAGCTTCTCTTATGCAACGCTCGTATCATTCACGCCTGGCTTGACATTTTTGACTATGGTGTTGGGCTCCCCTGAAAATGAAGGCTCCAAAATCTGGCCACATTTTGCAAGCGCCGAGCTGTGTAGGGGCGATGAGCTGGCATTTGATATTGGATCCGGGGTTCTCGGAGCAGAGCTTGAGATTCGAACTGGCCAAGTTTCCTGTGTGCAGCAGCAGAGTTTCACTTGATGTTCGGAAATCATGGCTCGACAAGAACGAAGAGGGAGAGAGGGCGGTTGTGACTTTTGATGCGCAGAGAATGCTCGGACGGTTGGAAGAATCGGCTATGGGCGCTGAGTGGATAGAGCGAACCGAAGCAACAGAATACGCCGCAGGGAGACAGCTTGGAACTTTAAGTCTCAGTTGATATCTTTGATAGGGTTGGACGTGTCTAAGTTCTTCCATGCAAACACTGCCCAGTTCCTTGTCGTCATACGGGTCATGTATCCAGACGGACCTTCAGAATAGATGGCTATGCTTCATATCATCACTGCTGTGCTGTTGAGAGATAGATGTGTTGCTGCCACATAATCAGGGGCATCGAACCTCAGGCATCTCACAGGCAATGCGACTTCCAACTCTCACGTCCGAGGTACGAGTATTTTCCGAAATTCTTCTCGGGTCCGGCCAATTAACCATTTTCTCCTCCGTAATGCCCCAACGGTCCAACCTCTCCTGATCCCAAAACACGTAGCCCCATCTCCTCAGCCGAAAGTCTGTATTCTGTATACCATGACTGCTCGCCCACAGCCAGCCAATGGTGGGAACCCGCTCGCTGATGAATTTGCCGTACCTGCCTTTCCATTGCCAAGTCCCCCAACTGACATCTCTCTCATAAGCATCCAAAGCAGCTCGCATAGAAACATCCACCCGTCCGGCCATCTCCCCCTCAGCGATGCGGCTTTCACGTTCATTCTCAGAAGCTGCTGTCATTACTTTATCAAGCTGCTGCGGTCCTAGAGCGACAAGTTGGTCATAATACCACGATATTGAACGGTAGTAATCTCTAGCATACATCTGTAGACAAGCCACTTCTTCCACTTCATGGATAGGGAAGAGCCCGAAGAAGTTGCGTGCTATCTCTTTTTCGCTGAATGCGGAATCTGGAAGCTCAATGCCGGGTATGCTGAGTTCACGAATGATAGCCTCTTGGCTCGGACCGATGCTCGGACCGAAGAAATTGCTATAAATTTCATACCGCCAGAGTGCCCTGTAGAGTCTATGCAACTCGGATCGAGAGGGTAGAAGAGGGTCATCGTCCGATGATTGAGTGAAAGGATTTCTAGAAAATGTAGCCTTGCAGTATCTGGCAATCAAGCTTGTGAACTTTCTCTGCAGGCTCAGTATAGCGAGAGAGTCTTGTAACGCAAGACGCCGTCGACTGCCATCCATACGCCCCTGGGCGTATCTCTCTAGGTATTCTGTGACGATCTCAACCCGATGCGTGATGTGGTAGCCGAGCTGCGGTGCATGGATGGCAGTCCATGGGTCCAAAAGACCAATGTCATTCTTCTGGAGGGTGCGAATTGTGATGGCGTGGAGGATCTCTTCTCGAGCTCCGAGGTAAGCCTGATGGTACTTTGGAGAAGCGTGTACAATGCTGCTGAGAGATGCGACCTCTGGCATGTGACAAAGGATCATGACTCTGATCTCTGAGGGAAGGATTTCAAGGGCTGATGCCCGAGATTGGTATGCTTGCTCTAAACCGTTTGCAGTAGACTCCATATTCAAGGATGTATGAGTTGACCTTGTAGACTGATAAAAGAGACGCGGCGTTTGTAGATGGCGTAAGAACGTACTTGAAGTCTTCCAGCATTTTTGAGGAAGATAGGTAATAGCTCATAGAATTGACACCACCTACTACAATTTGTACAAGAGATGAGATGCAACCCTACGGAAGAAGTCAGCACGATATTTGTGATGCCTTGAAAGATGGGAGGTGCATGTCTTGGCGCATGGCGTCCGGCCCCCGGGCGCTGCCGCTAGAGTAGATCCAGCGCGCCCTCCTTGTCTTCAGTCCCATCATGAACTAATACTTTGTTTTTCACGAAGGCACTACAATATCTTCGGTTGTTGCATTTTCCGCGCTGCTGACAGTGTACGTATAACAATGGATTATTGTACAATACCCAACTGTCCAATCTACGATCCCCTAGAGATACCTGTCATGGTATCAGCTCTCAACACTACGGTTCCCAAATGGGCCTAGTACGGCTTGGCACTACCTACATAAACGGCCTTCACAGCATCCTTAGACCTTCATAGCTATTATTCCATTTATACTGCAATACAAGCTATAAGCACTTATCCAGTCCATGACAATACCCTACATCTGCTTTGAATTCCAGTATGACCCTCCCTTTGCATCGTATCCTGAAAAGCAGGCATGGTCTACCGCAATTTTCCTGGTCATTCGTAGACCCTGACTGTAATGATGACGATCTTGACGCATTTCTACGGCCATGGCTGTTCTTTGGTCTCGTGAGAGAAAGGTTGGGCTTGCTGCTACCGAGATACAAAGCACCTTTCTATCTCTTGCAGCCGCTGATAAGGTTCTCGTGTTTGACACCTATCTTGAATAGGACACCAAGGTATGGCTGTCAAGGAAATTCTATGTCGAGTCATTTGTTCAGGTTGGACAATCAGACTCGGGACACTCTAAGAAAGCGCCCTGGCCAAGGAAACGATGAAATGGTTATGGACCCTGTTCAAGAACCCACCGTCTATGCTCACGCTTTTGGGGAGGCCGAAGGATACCAATGGAGGGTTACAGATGGTATCCAGTCAGCTGCTTGGGCCAATCATCGATTACAATTTCGGGTGGCAGGCGTGATGGTTTCCTGCACAGACTCAACAATGAATTGACCTAGGATGTAACCAGCTCAGGAATAGTCATATCGTATCCTAGAATCGTCTTTGCGCCGTGGACCGCAAGACTCAGTGGCAATTCTGGATCCGAATTGAGCAAAATGTTTGGTCACATGCCACTTGCACTGGTGATAGGGGTTTCCTACGCAAAGATGCAATGACGGGTCTATAAAACCTGAAAACACCGTCAATGACAGTGGCAGAATTGCTAGCTTAGCAGTCATCTTTCAGAACGCCAGGGCCCTCGTGATCTGGGGGCCACTCAACGAACGCAACAGTACGCACGATCTTCTCGTGCTGGCGAACGGGAAAGCTGATCTGGCCTTGCAAGCCCGCCCAATCACACAAGTCTTTTAATTGCCATGAGCTCCTGCCTTCCACGCAAGGAAGCTTTCCTTGCGGTTAGAAGTTGTGCCGAACAGATCGACGACCTCATTGGAACCTCAAGGAGCAATTCCGACTGAAGATAGAGAGCACTGAGTATTGGCCATCGTTGGCAGAAGGGAATAGGGTTCGAGGTATTGAGATGGCTCGGGAACCATTTTTTTGACTGATGGTTCTGGTGCTAGGTGTAGCTATATGGTTGATGAAGAGCACTATGCGTTCCAAGCTGCAACTATCTGTGAAGAGAAGTCCTGGTATGCAGGGTAGGTTTTTTGTGCAGGCTCGGTGGCTGATGCTTCAACGGCACAACGAGCTGGATACCTCTGTGTTTAAAAAAGATGGGTATGTGGTCGTTATGTGTAATAAGCTTGTTCCTTGCTATCTCCGAGCTCTATCATGTAGTAGTAAGCTAAGTTTGGCCCGGCATGCGCAAAGGCTTGGCAAGTTGTCTACGTGGCAAGTGCAACTGCCGTGACACTCTACTCTCAAAATGATTAATGGAAGGGCTGCAATCAAGGCTTGCGTGATGTAGGCGAGTCTTACGAGCCAGACTAAGTTCTTGGGATTGTGCGTTGTTGGAAGCAACAAAAATGACGACGTTGTCTACTAGATGAAGAGAATTGGGAAGGTGTGCTGCATGCATTTCTTGAGTTCCAAAAATACAGATACGATAGAAGGAAAGAACGACTTATGGTGGCCATGAAACCAAATATCTGTGTCTCAATCTTCGTTCGAGCCACATTGTAGACTCGCTAGATAGAGTAATGATCATGGCATCACCTCTCAGAGATTGACTGCTTGAAGAGAAGATACTGCAGGTTCCCGTACTTATCTGAAGTCGCGCTAGTCCTTTGTTGTTGGCGTGAGGTTCAAAAACTCACCTCAGTCAACACTCACATTTACACACCACATCAACAAGCACTTCCCATGTGTGCATCCCCTTCCACTGCATCCACATTGAGCGGAGATTTCGAGCACATCACCACAACCATGAAGAACCAGCGAGCCAACCTTGCAGATCCAGTACTACTAGAAAAGATTGACAAGTTCTTTGAGCTTGGAATCGGAGAATACGTCGCGCTGCCCCAGGTAAGATTCCATCCCACTCTGCATTCTTTTATGGCTACTAAGCTGCTCAGTTACTTGTTGTGGGAGATCAGTCCAGGTAATATCACGTCTGAGGGAGGGTACAGCTTATCTGCTGACTGTCTTCAGTGGGAAAAGCTCAGTACTTGAAGGACTGACTGGCCTACCCTATCCGCGGGATAGCGGACTCTGCACACGGTTCGTGACGCAGATCACGTTTAGAAGAACTCCAGCAGCGAAGATCGGGGTCTCTATAATTCCAGCTGAGAATGCGTCGTCTGCATACGCGGAGAAGCTTCGGTTGTGGCGCAAGGACGACCTCGTCTCACTAGGACTCCAGACTTTCGCAGACATCCTGAAAGAGGTAGGATCCACTGTTCTCGTCTTGCGATGGTCCACTACCCTTGATAATTCTCACTGACCAGCATCGTCCCGCAGGTTCAGGAGCTCATGGGGCTAGGACAGGCCGACAGTGGCGGCAACAAGAAGACCTTCGCCGATGACGTTCTTAGGATAGAAATATGCGGGCCTGATCAGGAGCACTTAAGCGTGATCGATGTCCCCGGAATATTCAAGAAATCCACACCAGGAGTGACAACGAAAGCTGATATGGTCATGGTCCGCAACATGTGAGTCTACTTTTGGGGTAATCCCTTTCTTATGCGTGCCGCAATCTGAGTTGTGAGACATGTTTTTGGGTGTTGTGTCTCTTCGAACCTGCCTCATAGCTCGGTGTCCGTCTTGAAAAAGGCATGCTGACTCGGGAAATTTGAAGGGTTACTACTTACATGCGAAATCCTCGCTCTGTTATCCTCGCGGTCATCCCGGCTAATGTGGACATCGCTACTCAGGAGATCCTTGAGATGGCTGAGGAACTGGACGTCAAAGGCGAGCGAACTCTCGGGGTCCTTACCAAGCCAGATCTCGTCGATAAGGGTGCGGAGCCTGCAGTCATCGCCATCATCGAGGGGAGGAGTCACACTCTCAACCTCGGGTGGTGTATCGTGCGCAACCCTGGCCAACAAGCATTGGCCAATAGTCTGTCCGATGCAGCAGCCAACAACCGACATGCGAC